ATAAACATTAATATATATTTTTTAGAGCCATTTTAAATCACAGTTTTGGAAAAGGTCTCCTATAACCGGACATATCCAAAAATACTAAAAATATTATTAAAATAAGGTGCATTGATCACAAATGTATTCCTGTTTGGTTTCAGGAATGTCCGCACATGCTTCGTGCGCCCGTTCCATGCAGCTACAGCACTAGATCCAATCTTCCTCGTTATCTTTGAGGCAAATTACACATACTGTTTTTTCTTTTGCATTGTGGACAGTTTGTCGGCGATTACTATTTTTAAAAAAATAAAAGTGTATAAAAAAAGTGTATTATAAAAGTGTTTTCCGGCCATCTTTTTTTCTTTATTAAATCTGTGATCTATTTTTAGTGACTCAGCTAAATCAAATGCAAGCTTTTGAAATTCTTTTTTAATTAGGAGCATGCATCTATGTGACAAGTTTACGACATGTTCTTTTAAAGTCATTTCATAAATTTCATCAAATGTCTTTTTAAATCCTTTTTTGGAATAAAGGCTGACTTCGCCACCCTGTTTTATGACTTTTATGTTGTCAAATAGTGTACTTTTTGGCACTGCATATCTTTCGGAAGCTTTCCGAATTGATAATTCACCCGATAATACCTTATTCATCGCGATTTTCATTTTTTGTTTATTCTGCACAGTATTCTTATTCTTCACTTTTATGTTTAGAAAAGAAATCTGTAATAAATAATAAACGTACATGATCAATAAACAAGACATGGTAGTGTCCGGTAATAGGGGACTTTTCTAGTGTCCGGATACAGGGACCTTTAATACATTCGAAATCAGACGAAAAGTCGATAAATCCGTGACAGCTTTGAAAAGTAAGTCGAATTTATTATAAGTATACATACCAATGAACAATCTTACGTGTCCACGAAGTAGCGAAATCTACGTTATTTAAAGATATATCACTTACAAAATTATTCGTAACGCACAAAAAATGCTTGTTGGATACAACAACCGCTCTCACTAGCCGGTGGCAGCAGATTGACGAACGACGCACATTACTCGCGCATCTCCTGAACAAAAGAATCAAGCCACGCTCGCAACAAACGTCTTTTGTTTTTAGTTCTATAGATATATGTACTGTCCGGTTATAGGCGCCGTCCGGTATTAGGGGACTTCCCCCTAAACGGAAAATATATTAATGGTAATGTATACTTATAAATATTTTGAATTTTTTTTTTAATGATAAAACTTTAATGTAATTAGTTATTTTACTACAAATATCTTAAAACTTTTGTTCCTTTCTGTTTTCCAAATTTATTTAAATTTTTTTTTGCAATTATTTTTTTAGTTGTGTTTACAGTACATATAATTGATAATATTATTATATTATATATATTTCTAAATTATATATATATATAGGATATTGTCGGTGTGGTAGCACCATTCATGTAAAGTTTCAATTACAAGATTGTGACAATAATGTCATATTACTGTGCAATTTTAAAAAAGGCAAAGAAACCAAAAAATGCGGTCCTTTATATTTACGAGGAAAAACTCGAAAATTGATGATCGAAGAGTTGCAGAAAAAAAGTGTCTATACTTATTGGACAACACAAGCTGCAGATTTAATGCAACCTAGAGATCCAAAATGCCCTTTAATTTGATCTGTATTACATGTCGCACAAAATGAAGAAGTTAGCAATCATTATTTACATACAAATCCTATACAAACACTTGTTATTATGAAAAACATGACAAAATACAGCAATTGTATTGGAAATATAGGATTTGATCTATTTTATATACACTACTGTGTACATTTACAAGTGCAGATTTATAAAAAGCTTTTTTCTAAATATAAAAATAATCTACAAATTTATATTGATGCGACTGGGGCACAATTTAAAGAAATTATGAAATGTGATGGCAAAAAAACTGCCTATATTTTACTATATTTAATTGTAGTAAATGTTGAAGAAGAACAATTTCCAATTGCACAAATGATCACAGAGCAACATTCAGTTGCAAGTATCCAACATTGGCTTAATGAATGGCTATCGTTAAAAATTCCTCTACCTAAACAGATATGCGTAGATTACTCTTTTGCGCTTCTTCATGCAGCAGCAAGAACATTTGATGGATGTTACAATATTTATGATTATGCTGCTAAATGTAAAAATAATATTCCTGGTTGTTTGATACGTATTGATAGAGCGCATTTTATAAAAAAGTACATCCGTTTCTTAAAACGCTCTACAAAAATATTAAAAACTTTTTACGCTTCGTGTATTGGTGCTCTCTGCAATTGCAAAGACAAAATGGAAGCGAAAAAAATAATCAAAGCGTTATTAACGTTGTCACAATATGAAGCAGAAATTAATACATTTCAAAAAAGAGAACAATATTTAAAATTTATTATAACAGGTAAGCATAACAAATTCAATAATTCGAATGACGTATATTGTATAATACAGATATATTGTATTTTTTTAGGTACAATTAAAGACGAAATAGAAAATATTATAAACGTGGAAGATGAATCCAGTTTAGATGATTTTACAGAGGACATAACACATCTTAAGGAAACAGTCAATAATTGGAAAGAATGGCTTCAAGTTATTGAAAATGAATTAGAAAAAGAATCTAGAAACGAAACCAATAGACCAAATGCCTATCGTAACATTCAATTTGCTAAAATTTTAAAAAAAGATATTTTGTTATTACCATTGTGGACAAAAATATTAGAAATTAAAATAGATTATGGAAACATGGGAGGATCTACAGCAAGTTGCGAAGAAGAAATAAATAAAATAAAAAACATAGTTTTTAAAGATATAAAAAATAAGACTATAAGAGTAGATAGTTTTGTTCAAAAACATATCGAACATTTATTCGGTGAAATGCTCTTAGCTGATTCTAATTCTAAAGTAGACCACTATGAATTAGATGAAACTAGTTTATGTGAATCTCAGGACCTTCAAGAGAGAGAAAACTGGAAAGGAAAAGTTATAAGGAAATGTTCTAAATCGGTCCCAAAAATAGATTTTAATGACAGCTGCAACATGACGTCTAATAATGACGATGATGATGATAAAGAAAATATTAATGATAATGACGACGATAAAGAAAACATTAATGATGATGATGATAAAGAAAATATTGATGACAATGTTGATGATGAAAAAAATATTGAAGAAGAAAAATCAGAAATCAGTACATTGTCAATTAAATTTTTAAAGAATGAGGAAAATGAGAAAAGTATATTAAAGGATATCTCAAATAAATTATGCACCAAGAAACGATTGCCACTCTACATGGGACACCAGAAAGACCGTATTGCTCAAAAACTGCAATATAAACAGTCAATTAAAGTGGGCGTATTTAAACATTGCTCAAATATTCGTTTAGCAGCACACAAAATAGACGGAATTTCATACAGTTTATTAAATTCATGTCCATTTGATAGTATAATACAAAGTTTATTTGTAATTGGAATAGACGATGAGCTAATAAAGAAAACGGTAGATATACAATTTTTAACAGAACAAAATCTAAATTATGAAAAAAGCTACTAAATTAACTTTTTTCTTGTAGATAACTTCGATTGAAGGAAACGAATTCTTCGGTACTATAAAATATATTTTCATGCATGGTATTACAAATGAAGCCTATAAATGCAGAACAAAACTGATGGCTTCTCACGGAAAAGTTGTGGCTTACAATAAAAGATTGGAGCAGATAATAGTTGATTGTGAAAGTAATGTAGGGGAAATGTTTTTGAAACTTATTGGCAAAAGTTTTTATTCCTTAGAATATGTTGACTATTGTAAAAATCAATGTACTGAAGTAATAAAACATCAATGCGAGATGTTATTTATGAAAGAAACACAATTAAGGAAAGAAAATATTCATATAAATAAAATAAAAGAAGCATTTTTACAAAAGCAAAAATGCAATATTTGCCAAAATACAAAAATCAGAGAATATTGCAAAATAAGTAAGTAAAAATAAAAAATTAAAATAAATACTAAAATAATAAAAAACAACTATTTTTTCGGTAATATTACAGGTGATTTGATAATAATAGATATCGTCACTTCCAAAACATATAAAATACAAAAAATACCTAAATATATCACAAATAAAGAAAATGAAAAAAAATACTATGTACAATTATAAGATATGCCCGGTAAAAAATTTCTCATAAATAATTAGACAAAAATAGTACATATCTAATTATACAAAATTATATACCGAATTTGTCCATACATAAATAGATACACCTATATATAAATGAATATAAATATATATATTTATAGGACTTCCGTTTCCGGTGCGTAGTGAGAAAGATACGTGGTTCGGTAGTGAGAGAAAATTAAGTGAGAAAAGGGTATAGAGATAAGGAGGGAAGGTGAGGGTGGAGGGGGTGTGAGTGGAGGTGCATGTGAAGGGGAGAGAAAGTGGAGAGGCAGGGATAGAAAGAATAAGGGCAAGGAGAGAGGAAGGAAAATAGACAGGTGATATAAGAAGGTGAAAGGCGCGGAACATAGGGAAGGTAGAGAGGTAAGCGAGTGGCTCGAGTAGGTCAGGGAGAAGGTAGGAGATAGATTGGAAAGTGAGAGTGCGGGAGAGTAACTAGGGAGAGGCAGGTAGAGAGAGTGCGCAAGCGTGACAGGGAGAAGATGAGTGTGAGAGGAGCAAGGGGGAAAATAATGATGAGGGATAGGAGTGTGAGTGTAGATGAGATGTGGAAAAGGAGGAGAGAAGAAGGAGGGGAGGGGGAGGAGGAAGTGTTCAGGACATGTAAAAAACAATGAGGTCGCCGGAGAGAGGGAAAGGAGAAGGGGAGGGGATCGAAAATTTGATAAGAGGATTAATGGAGGAGGTAAAAGAGATGAAAATAAATGGAGAAAAGGCGAACAAAGAGTTGAAGGAAAAATAACGGAGAAAATAATAGAAGAAGGAAGGAGGCAAGAGCAGGCGTTGAGGAAGGAGGTGGAGGATTTAAAGAGAGAGTTGAGGGAAATGAGGGAGAGGGAGGAAAGTTGGAGGAAGGAAGGAGAGAGGTGGGAAGAAGGACTTAAAAAGGTGGAAGGAAGGGTAGGAAACATGGAAAAGAGATGGGAGGAGAAAGAAGGAGAAAAGAAGAGAAAGGTGGGGGAGGAAGGGAAGGTGGAAAGTAGAGTAAGGGAATTGGAGGGAAAGTTGGAGAGGAGGGAAAGGGAAGAGAGGAAGAAGAATGTAATAGTTAAGGAGTTAAAAGTGGGAGAAGGGGGGAGGAGAGAGGCGGTGGAGAGATTAATGGCGGAGATTGGAGCAAAGGTGGAGATAGAGGAAATGAGGGGGTTAGGAAGGAATATAGAAAGGGGAACGGAGACGCTGTGGGTGAAGTTAAAAAAAGAAGAGCAGAAGAGGGAGGTGATGAGAAGGAAGAGGGAGTTAAGGGGGAGAAAAGAAATAATTAGGGAAGACTTAACATGGAGGGAGAGGAGAATGGAGTGGAAATTGGAAGAAATAGCGAAAGAGGAAAGAAGAAAGGGAAAAAGAGTATGGAGAGTGTACGGGAAGGTAAGAATAGAAGAGGAATGGTGGATATGGGATGAGGAGAATGAAGTATTGAGAAATGGGAAAGGAACGGCGAGGGAGGAGGGAAGGAAAAAAGAGGAGGGGAGAATTGGAGAAGGGAGAGATTGACAAGAAAGTGGAGGAAGGGAAAGAGAGGGAGGGGAAGGTAGAGAGAAGGAGAGAGAATGGAGGATATTATTTTGGAATGTGGCGGGGAATGGGAAACAAGGATAAGAATTTTGGAATTATCTGAAGAGCTGGGATGTGATGGTATTATCAGAAACGTGGGTGGGGGAAAAGGGATGGGAGAAGATAAAGAGGTGGTTACCGAGAGGACTTATATGGGGGATGCAGGAAGCAAAGAGAGTAAATAAGAAAGGAAGAGCTATGGGGGGAATGATTATGGGGATAAGGAAGGATATATTGGAGAATGGGACGGGAATTGAGAAGGAGAAAGAGGGGATAATGGTGGGGAATATAAAAATAGGGGAGAAGAGATGGAAGATAATAGGAGTATACGTTAGGAGGGAAGGAATAGATAGGACATTGGAGGAGTTGGAGGGATGGATGGAGAAGGAGGAGGAGGAGAAGGGAATATTGATGGGAGGGGATTTTAATGCGAGAACGGGGAGAGAAGGTGGGGGAATAGAGGGAAGTGTGGAGAGGGGAGAGGAGGATGGATGGAGGATGTCGAGAGATAAGAAGGTGGATAAAGAGGGAAAAAATTGTTAAGATGTATAAGGGAGAAAGGGTGGGAAATTTTTAATGGAGGGGTAAAGGGGGATGAAGGAGGAGAATATACATTCACGGGAGGGAAGGGAAATACGGTAATTGATTACATATTGGGCAGTAGTAGGACTAAGGAAAGGGTGAGAGAAATGAGAGTAGGGAGCAGGGTAGAGTCGGATCATCAGCCGATTGAGATAAAGATAAAAGGGAAGGTAAAGTGGAGAAAGGTAGGCAAAAGAGGGGAGAAGGCATGGAGAGGGAAATGGGATGAGGAAGGGAAAAAGAGATTCAAAGAGAGAATAGCAAATTTGGAGGTAGGAGATGGAGAAATTGAGGAGGTATGGAGAAAAGGAGAGGAGAGGATAAGAGGGGTATTGGGAGAAATGGGGAGGGAAGATAGAGAAAGGGGGAATGAGGAGAGAAGAGGGTGGTGGGATGAAGAATGTAAGGAAGTGAAAAGAGAGTTAAGAAGGGAGATGAGGAGGTGGAGGAGAGAGGGAGGGGAGGGGAAGAGATATAGAGAAAAGAAAAGGGACTACAAAGAATTGTGTGAGGAGAAGAAGAGAGAGGAGAATAAGAGGTGGGAGAGAAGAGCGATGGAGGCAAAAAAAAGAGGGGGATGTATGGGAGATAATAAATAGAGAGAGAAAGAGAAGGAAGGGAGTGAATGAGGAGATAGAAATGGAGGAATGGGATGAATATTTCAAAGATATGTTAGGAGGAGTGGAAAACAGGATGAAAGGAAGAGGTAGGAAGAGGGAAGAAACAGAGGAGGGAGGAGGAGAAGAGTTGAGTAGAGAGGAGGTGAAAAGGGCGATAAGAAATCTGAAGGAGAAAAAGGCAGTAGGAAAAGACGGAATACCAGGAGAGGTATGGAAATATGGAGGTGTGGAGGTTGAGGAGTGGCTATGGGGTGTCTGCAGGAGAATATGGAAAGGGGAAGGATGGCCGGAGGTGTGGAGAGAAGGAGAAGTAATTCCGATAATTAAGAAAGGGGAGGGAGTGAAGGTAGAGGATTATAGGGGAGTAACGTTAATGCCGACAGCATATAAAGTATATATGATGATATTGGCGGAAAGGTTAAAGGAGGAAATGAGAGAAAAGGAAAGTTTATCACCGAATCAAGCGGGTTTTAGGAAGGGAATGGGAACGATAGATAATATATATGTACTGAATTATTTGATAAATAGGCAGCTGGAAAGGAAAGGAGGGAAAATGGTAGCATTGTTTGTGGATTTGAAAGCGGCATTTGATATGGTAGATAGGGAAGTATTGAGAGGAGATATGGAAAAAAGAAGGATTGAAAAGGGGATTATAGAGAGAAGTATGGAAAGTATGGAAGAAACTAAAAGCAGAGTAAGAGTAGGAGAGAGGACAGGGGAATGTTTTTGGACGACGAGAGGGGTGAGGCAGGGGTGCCCGCTAAGTCCCTTGTTATTTAATATATTGATGGCGGATTTAGAGGAGGAGATGAGCAAGGTGAAATGGGGTGGGGTAAAGTTAGGAGATGTAGGGTATATACAATGTCGTACGCGGACGATATGGTGTTATTGGCGGAGAGTGAAGATGAAATGAGAAGCATGATAGGGAGGTTGGAAAGTTATCTGGATGGAAAAAATTTGGTGCTGAACACGGAAAAGACGAAAATCCTAAGGTTTAGGAGGAGGGGAGGGAGGATGGGGAAAAAGGATTGGAGGTGGAAAGGGAAAAAGCTAGGAGAGGTAAAAGAATATAGATACTTGGGATATATGATACAGAGAAATGGGGGGCAGGAAGCGCAAATAAGAGAAAGGGTGAGAAGAGCAGCGGTGGTTATGAGACAGGTGTGGGGAATAGGGAAAAGAAGATTTGGAAGGGACTGGGGAAGAAGGATATGGCTTTTTGATAAGTTAGTGTGGACGGTGATGGGATACGGGGTGGAGATCTGGGGATGGAAGGAGAGAGAGGAAGTGGAGAAAGTAGGGGAAAGATATTTGAGATGGATATTAGGAGTGGAGAGTAGGACGCCGGGGTATATGGTGAGGGAGGAGATGCAAAGGGAGAAATTGAGGGAAAGAGCAGGGATAAGAGCGTGGAGGTATGAAAGAAGATTGAGGGAGGGTAAGGGAGGGGAGTTAGTGAGAAGATGTTGGGAGGAAATAAGGCAGAGAAGTAAGGAAGGAAAAATAGGATCGAATTGGGAGGGGGAAAGAAAGGAATATTTTGAGAAAAGAGGGATAGAAATGAAAGAAGTGGAGAGGAAGAGAGAGATGGGAGAGGAATGGGAGAAGGAGATAGTAGAGGAAGGGAAAAGGAGGGACAGACAGGAAAGATGGGAAAGAATAGAAAAATCGAGGTATAATAAGTGGTATGGAGTGGTGAAAAGGGAGGGGATACCGGGGTATTTAAAAAAAGGGTGGGGAGAAAGTAGGTGGAAGAGAGTGGCGAGGTTTAGATTAGGAAGTGAGGTGAGAGAAGGGAGGTATTGGGAGGAGGAGGAAAAAAGGAGGTGTAGGCTGTGTGAAGGAGGGATAGAAACGTGGGAGCACATTTGGGAGGAATGTAGAGAATGGGAGGAAGGAGGGAAAAGTTGGCAGGAAGTAGTGGAAAGAATACTGGGAGAGGAAGGGGAAGGGGAATGGTGGATGAGAGAGATGGAAAGGGAGAGAGGGAGAGATAGAAGGGAAAAGGGAGGAGAGGAGGGAGGAGAGGAGAAGAGGAGGAGAGAGAGAGGGGGAGAAGGAGGGAGAGAGAG